AATTGGAGAGGAGAAATAGATGCCTGTAAAGAGTCTACCTGGGGCTGTTCATAACCATGAAAGGCTTTATCATATGCAATGTGATGGAAACTGAGTAGGCATTGGGTATCTCTACTGATTTGCATGGGGTATGTAATTGTGGCATGGGGGCTCCAGTTAGGGATGGTTAGTTCACGAGAAGAGTCACAGAATGGAGCAGGAACTCCTTTGCTTGACCCTATATTTGATTGCCCTTTTCTCTTTTTTCTCCCATAGTCAACTGCAGTGGGGATGTATTCACGGCACTGATTGGGGAGATCACAAGTCCCAATTATCCCAATCCATACCCAGAGAATTCAAGGTGTGAATATCAGGTCCTCTTGGAGGAGGGATACCAAGTGGTCGTGACTGTGCGGAGAGAAGATTTTGATGTGGAACCAGCTGATTCAGGGGGCCATTGCCCTGACAGTTTAGTTGTGAGTGATGAATGATTAGTTTTCCTCCCAACTCACACAGATCAATTTCTCCCCAAAGACAAATTGTCTTTCCTTCTGCCCCTTCTTTTCTTCTTCTCCTTCTTATTTTATGTTACTTTTATTACGTTCTTTACTTTTGTCCCCTCCATTTTACCTACCTGTATCTTTTAGTTCTTTCTCTCTTCCGATTTCACCATTTTGTTTCTTTTCAGTTTGTTGCAAGAGACAAGCAATTTGGTCCTTACTGTGGTAATGGATTCCCTGGGCCACTAAATATTGAAACCAGGAGCAATGCTCTTAATATCATCTTCCAAACTGACCAAACAGAGCAAAAAAGGGGCTGGAAACTTCGTTACCATGGAGATCGTGAGTAACCTATAAGTTGGTCTTTGGTGCTACCGAAGTCCCCGGACAATGTAAAATCCAAACAGGTAGATTGTTGTATGGATAGTTCACCTGAGATACGTCACTTCTTCAGCAGGATCTAAACCTGTCAGTGGTCATTAGAAATGCCTTGACCTCTAGGAATCCTTCAGCTGGGCTTGCGGGTGCAGATGACGTGGAGTGGTTAGTATGTACAACTTGGGGTGGTTTGTTAGTATGTACTAACACAGCTGGGAGGATGAAACTGCCTTAATGACTCTTTCTGGAGTAGGTAAGGCCATATTGTTTTAGACATCTGCATTGGAATGTTAAGCATCAGAACTAAGGATGACTGAATGATTTTAGAAAGTGTGAAGGTGATGTAAATAGAATAGAGATTCTCCAACTATTTGGTAATTTGATTCCCCCTGTTCTTTCCAAGCAATCCCTTGTCCCAAAGACGTCACTGACAATTCTGTTTGGGAGCCTGAGAAAGCAAAATATGTGTTCAAAGATGTGGTGAGGATAACCTGCCTGGAAGGGTTTGAAGTCGTACAGGTAAAGTACAAATTTAGGGGCTTATCCCTAATCTCTAAGTCAGGATGAGCATACTGGAATTATCTAATGGTTTACTGAATGTCCTTGTTTGAGCAAGGTATAACCCCTTTTCCATAAACAGAATACTGCAGGATCTTTAGTCCCTCCTTGTAAGTCATGGAGCTCCTTGGCCAGATTGACATTCTCCTTCTGCTTTCAGTCTTCTTGAGGAAGGGATTCTGATATGCTGGGACAAAGTTGTCTTTTAGCCTCCACTCCTGGGTGCTTTGGGTCATTCTGCTAAGATAAGATGTCCCCAAACTTCTTATGGTCAGGACTCCTCATTGATCCAAGGCCAGAGATAGATTCCATTCTTGATTTTGGCTTCTCATATCTCTCCTTATAAATTAATGGTGATGTGTATTATTCTCCAGGGAAGTGTTGGCTCGAGATCTTTCTATTCTACTTGTCAAAGTGATGGAAAGTGGAGTAATTCCAAACTGAAATGTCAACGTATGTATCTCTTTAAAATGGGACTTTTTTTTTTTTTTTCCTTTCTAAGGGAATTGAAAGATGGGTTCATCAAGATTCAAATTCATGTTTTCCTCTTAGGCTTGTGAGAGAGTGGGTTGGATTTTTTGAAGAGAAGCCAGCCAATTAATTGCCAGCCCAGTTCTGGTCCTAGACTGGCCAGATTAGCAGGCTTCTTTCAAAGAAAGAGGCTGTGGGGTTGGTAGACTTAGTAGCACCAAAGAGGTCCATTCCTGGCTTCTGCAGGGGCCTCCACCAACCACTGAGAAGCTACTACTCCTTATAGCTTTCAAGGGGCTATCTGATTTGGCAGGACTCAGTGACCTGGGGAGATTCAGCCCAGGTGTCCTTATGGATGTGCGGGTGGGGAAGGAGTGAGGAGCATGGCCTGGAGGATGGAACTGGCTCCAATGACTCCTTCTGGAAGGAAGTGGCTTCCCTGACCATCACTCTCCTGCCTTCCTCTGATAGCTGTGGACTGTGGAATTCCTGAACCCATTCAGCATGGTACAGTCGAAGATCCAGAAGATACTTTATTTGGTTCTGTCATTCGCTATACTTGTGAGGAGCCATATTACTACATGGAAAATGAAGAAAGTGGTAGGTTTCTTTGACTAGGGAAAAGAGGAGAAAGAGTGAGAGTTGGAGAGTGAATAGCACACTCTTTCTGGCTTGGAGAGAATTTGGAGAGAAATGAAGGAGATGGGATGGACTTTATTTATTCTCTTGGCTTGGTCTAGAGATGCAGTTTTCCTATGGGATATAGGATCATCCGTAGAGAATCAACTAGCTCGGTTTCACAACTGTGGCCGGAATTCCCCCTATGATATCCATATTCATGTGGTTATCCAGCTTTTGGCCAATTATTTAATGTAGAACCTACGGGAATAATGCTTCCAGTGTCAAGTCACCATACCAAATGATTGCTTAAAAAAAAAAAAATATATATATATATATATACACACACACACATATATTATATATATATACACACATGTATATGTATATATATACATATGTATCTGTATACTTACATATATGTAAATATATATATATTTAATGTTTATGTATTTATTTATTTTGAGGGAGGGAGAGCGCAAGCAGGGGAGGGGCAGAGAGAGAGAAAGGGAGAGAGAGAATTTGAAGCAGGCTCTGCATTGTCAGTGCAGAGCCTGATGAGGGGCTCACACTCATGAACTGTGAGATCATGACCTGAGCCCAAATCAGGAGTCAGATGCTCAACCGACTGGGCCACCAGGCGCCCCCAAATGCCTAGCTTTCTTGATGGAGGGGACTTGGCAGTACTAGATGAAAGATGGGTTAAGACATAATATGTACCACTTTGTTGCTTTTAATTGAATTTATTTTCCCACTGGAAGCATTTTTCCAATCTCTACTGTAATCCTCTTTCTGCTTAGGGGACTCTTCCTTTCCCTCCTTTGGCCGAATAGAGGACAGAAGGATTGTTTCGAGGGTGTTCTCAACATTCTGTTCTAGTTGATTTGATTCGATTCCCTCCTCAAACGCCAGAGTTGTGGAGGCTCTGAATGAAAGGGGGGGGTGGAAGAGAGAAGATGTGGTGGTGAGTGTGTCCTGTGTCCCTTGTGCTATTGCAGGGGAGTATCGCTGTGCTGGCAACGGGAGCTGGGTGAATGAGTTGCTGGGCACCGAGCTGCCAAAATGTGTTCCAGGTAATCAGGGCTCAGGGTTGGGGAGAGACCACAGACATAGGTGGAGGTGAGGGGGGCCACTCTCTGAAAGTAGCTGCAGTCTTTTTGGGAAAGGACTTAACACTCTGGGTCTAGCCCAGGGAGGTGGAGATAACACTGGGCTGTGGGCCCGCCAGGGCCTTGGGGAATTCCTCCACCGCCCTGACTCAGGCCAACTGACAGGAAATAGAAAATCAGCCAGTGACAGTTGGTGGCAGAGGGAGGGCCAGTTAAGTTCGGTAAAGTAGATGCAATAAGGGGATAAAGAATTGCTAAAAACAGGGCCCGAAAATTGAGAGTGAGGATTCCTCATGCAGAAACAAGACCAGCTGAATAGCTCAGTTATTATGTAAGAGTCTATATGGCAACAAGATATAGAGGAATAAAAGAAAGGAAGAGTTGCAGACAGATCAGAGTTGAATAGAAGAAGGCTTTCAGGCAAAGCCAGAATAATACTGGTGATCCTGTAGTAACAACAGTGTTATTGAGAGCTAGGGACTGAGCTAATTAATCGCATTTATTATCTCATTCCAGTCCTTGCAACAACCCTTTGAGGTGTTACTAGTTCCATTTCAGAGATGAGTGAACTGAATACAAGGTCACAGAGTTAGTAACAGGCAGCAGTAGACTTTGAACCCAGGTCTGTCTGAGTCCAAAGCCTGATATTATGCTCAACTCAGAGTCCACTCAGGCTGACTACTGAGGGATTTAGGTAAACTGACTTGGTCTGGAATAAAATTCAGTGGTAGTTGCATTCGGTAATGGCAAAATATTCAGGCCTGGAATCAATGGGGAATTGAAATGAGCGATGAAAGAAGAGAACCCTCTCTTTGCCCTACCTCCATGGATTACTAGGAGGGCCTCGGCTGCGGTTAGGACTTCGGTACAGAAGGCGATAAGCATTTGGTCTGGGCGTCAGAAGGAGGTAGAACGCCTGCTTCCTCCATCATCTGTATGAGGAAAGAATTTCCCAGCACTGCCTCCAGTTGGGCCGCTGTCCCCATGTGCTGAACCTAGGATGAAGTGTACCTCTAGAGGGCTGTTTTCATAGTGTGAGGCACTAGTTCATTTGGACTCCTCAGTTCACACACCAGACTCTCTCCCATGAGCCTGCCTGGCTTTGGAAAAGTGAGATGTTTGGTGATTACATTCAGGATGAGTCAGATACTCAGATGGTTGACCAAATGGAGGGTTGGCCCTATTGTGCTAGAGAATTGTGAAGCCCGGCAAGTTTTTGAGTAGTTGGAGGATCTGTAGGAGGCCAATAATTTATTTCTTATTCCCTCTCCACCTTGTTCTTGTTCTTTCCTAGTCTGTGGTGTTCCCAGTAAGCCCTTTGTAGGAAGACAGAGGATATTTGGAGGATCTGTTGCAGATATTCAAAATTTCCCCTGGCAAGTCTTCTTTTCAGACCCACGGGCTGGTGGGGCTCTCATCGATGAGTACTGGGTGCTGACAGCCGCCCATGTCGTGGAGAGAAACCATAACCCAGGAATGTACGTTGGGTCCACCTCAGTACTCCGCTCAGATCTGACAAAAACCAAGATGCTTACTGCTGAGCGTGTGATTATTCATCCGGGTTGGAAATTGTTGGATGACCCAGAGTCACGGAAGAATTTTGACAATGACATTGCACTTGTGCAGCTGAAAGAGCCCGTGAAAATGGGACCCACTGTCTCCCCTATCTGCCTGCCAGGTACCTCCTCAGAATACAATCCCTCGGTGGGAGACCTGGGACTGATCTCAGGCTGGGGCCGAACAGAGAAAAAAGATCATGTGCGCCAGCTCAGAGGGGCAAAGTTACCCATTGCTCCCTTAGAAAGGTGCCGGGAGGTGAAAGGGGAAAATCTTAAACTGGATATAAATGCCTTCGTTTTCACTAATAACATGATCTGTGCTGGAGGACAGAAGGGTGTTGATAGCTGTGAAGGGGACAGTGGCGGAGCTTTTGCTGTACAGATCCCCAGTGTAGAGACCCCCAAATTCTATGTAGCTGGTCTGGTGTCCTGGGGCCCTCAGTGTGGAACTTATGGAATCTACACACGAGTAAAGAACTACATTGACTGGATAAAGAAGACAATGCAGGAAAATAGTCCCCCCAGTATGGACTAATCCATACATACACCACCAGCTTCTTCAAGGGCTATGACCAATCCATTTGCTTTCTGTTCCTCTCAATATTCCTACGATTTCACTATGACTGAAAAAAGACCTGGGAGTGTGATTTAAATAGAACTTGATTGTTGGGGTACTTGGCTGGCAGGAGTGTTTGAACATTACATTGTGCTGGCCATTCGGTGTGGTCTGAATCTGTGGGGGTCCTCTCCCTTGAATACCAACTATGGATAACAACACGAGAAGAATGCTCCTATCTTGCGCTATTCCCTAGTGAGTCCCCTCTCCCCTCTCCTGATGATTGCCTGGCGATACGGTTCTGATTGTGAAATTTATTGTTGGGCATACCCTTGATTTTTTGTTTCCCCTTTACTGTTTGAAGTTCCACTTACCTTATCATACTCAGTGTCTACTATCTACTTGTAATAAATCATGTTTAAAACTCAGTTTTGGCTGACTTGACTTATTCCACATCAGGACCTCAGCCCCAGAAAAGGGCGAGGAAAGGGCTGTTCTGTCATGGAAATTCAGTCATCTAGTAGCTAATATTTAATTGTCATGAAAAGGCAATTCAGATTTTCTCCTCTCTTCCAATTGAGATTTATTGAATATTGTGGGTCAGCACGAATGTCATCAGTACAAGGTACCATAAGGTGCGTTTGAAATTTAAAAAAAAAATTTTTTTTAACGTTTTATTTATTTTTGAGACAGAGAGAGACAGAGCATGAACGGGGGAGGGGCAGAGAGAGAGGGAGACACAGAATCGGAAGCAGGCTCCAGGCTCTGAGCCATCAGCCCAGAGCCTGACGCGGGGCTCGAACTCACGGACCGCGAGATCGTGACCTGAGCTGAAGTCGGACGCTCAACTGACTTAGCCACCCAGGTGCCCCTGAAATTTATGAAACAAACCCGAACCTCATGCAGAAGTCCACAAACGACAGTTAGAATTGGCTGTTTAAGATCTTTAAGTATAAAATTTTGAGGCATGAATTATTTGTGTCTCTGAAAATTAATTTTCCTTTAATACTCATTTGTATAATACAATATTTTTTGGCATAATACAATATTATGGCTTAATAAAGAAGAAAAGAAGAAATTGAACACGCTCTTATCTGCTTTCCTCGTGGCTTTGATCAGTTGTCAGTCAGGCAACAATGCCTTCTCTGGATTAAACTCTGTGCCATGACATTATAGCTGAAAATTCTGGTGAGGATGGATGGACCCAAAGACTGTCCCTTCTATTCTTTTACAAGGGAGTGAAAATTAAAAACAAACACAAAAACAACACAACCTTCCTCCTCCCCACAAGATGGATTAGGAATGAAAAACAACCACACAATTGAGACTAGTATTTTTTTTTTTAATTTTTAAAAAAAAAATTTTTTTTTTCAACGTTTATTTATTTTTGGGACAGAGAGAGACAGAGCATGAATGGGGGAGGGGCAGAGAGAGAGGGAGACACAGAATCGGAAACAGGCTCCAGGCTCTGAGCCATCAGCCCAGAGCCCGACGCGGGGCTCGAACTCACGGACCGCGAGATCGTGACCTGGCTGAAGTCGGACGCTCAACCGACTGCGCCACCCAGGCGCCCCTAGTATTTTTTTTTTTTAACGTTTATTTGTTTTTGAGTGATACAGAGACAGAGTGCGAGCGGGGGAGGGGCAGAGAGAGAGGGAGACAAAGAATCCGAAGCGGGTTCAGGGCCCTGAGCCGTCAGCATGGAGCCCGACACGGGGCTGGAACCCACAAACCATGAGATCATGACCTGAGCCCAAGTCGGACACCTAACCGACTGAGCCACCCAGGCGCCCCTGAGACTAGTATTTTTAAAACTGTGGACAGGAGGCCTGTCTTAGGGTGGCAGTTGCCCTAACTGGGTGTCTTATGAAAGCCGCAGACTGAGCGTAAGAGTAGGAGTTCAGGAAGCCTCTGGTCTGTTTGATGGGACGTGAGGCTTTTAGGAGACCAGTTTTTTGGTTTTGTTTTTACACAAAAAGTGTGTCTGTGTGTTTTACACAAAAGGTGTGTATTTGGGGCCCATCAAGAAAGGACTTTCGTTTTTCATAGACCAAAAGGGCTAAATTCAACAGTTGACCTTAGACTGGAGGTTAACACATGTTGAAGTAACCAGAATTGTAACTGAAGGTCTGAAGAATCAAAGGAGAAAGAATTGAAATAATAGGGGAAAACAGGTAGCCTGGAATCCGACAAATAACAGACAAAGAAAGCCCATCCAGGCCAGAATCATCAGTCTCTTTGGGTTTTTCCCTTGCTAATGAGCTGGGGTATTCCCTCATTGCCTCATCTGGGCAGAATTCCCTCACTGTTGCTGCCTTATGCAGTAGGATGGTTATGGTTTTTGCATGGTTAACTTTACTACAAGATCATTACTTCGGGTGTATGGCAGAGAGGGGTTCTAAATGCATCATCCTCAGAGACTTTAGAGCCAGGAAGGACTCGTCACCAAGGCCTAGAGAATCATGCACTGTGATTTAAAGGGTATCAGTCAGACTGCCTCAC